AATTTGGTTAAAAACTGTAATTCAATTCACTTAGAGCTTACAGCAGCCTTTATTTCTGCAGTCGATGTTTTTCACCGCAGCTGTAATCTATAATCTTGGTTTGACATAGCAATATCAAAAGTCTCGGGTTTTTACTAAAAACATGAACAAAATGTCGAGTTTCATTAATTCATGTCACGTTTTGCCAGACCCCGTATATATGTATATATATAAATTGTGTAATTCTGTGGAACTTATATATTATGTCTATTCTTTCACCTAAGATAATTTTTGTTATAGCTGGCGAGCAAAAGTATACACAAATGTGCACATTACTCATCATGCCAGTAAAACACCTTTACAATGATATACGCACAGCGGTGTATGCTCGACTCGCCAGCCTGCAGCGGCGCACAATAGTCGACAGTGTTTTTGTCTATATTGTTCGCCGTTTTTCGTTCCAATTTCGGAATTAAAAAAAAAGATTGCGTAGATAGGCACCTAGGTACAGCAAAAGAGTATGCAACGGAAGTGTTCGCGATTTCGACGGAAGTTCGTAAACGATCAACATAATATAGTATATATAATGTGTAAATATGAATAATACCTATAGCTACTTCCAGTCAATTCTGCACTGATTTGCGTATTATTAAACAGTACGAATTTTTCGTCGGCGATATCCAGTGGGTAGGATTTAGGCTTGAGCCCCCAGAAATATCTGGTGAGACATTTTTGATAGTAATTCGTAATGAGTTCATATCATAGTAATAATGTTGACGGTTGAGTTTAGATTTGAAATTGTGACAATTTACATGAATATATTAAATATTATAGCATGTGTATATATTATATATGTTTTATATGTTTTTAAATTATTTCCTATTTTCCTATAGAATAAAGCATGAATGTTAAAGCTCCCTCCCCCTTGAAAACAAATCACGGGTACGGCATTGCTCGAGTGCGCCTGTTAGTACCTAACCTACCCCGATATAGGTGATTGAGAATATGTGTCCTGATGTATAAATAATGTCGACGAAATAACACAACGCTCCTATAGGTCGACGACGTGTTTGACACGACGGGTAACGGCTGAGAATCAAACTAAAAAAAAAAAAAAACTTTCTCACTGAAAATACCTAACGAACAAGCGAAAAAGTCCAAAATTACTTTTTAACGTTAAATTTGAATTAAATTTCCAATCTATATGATGCGAATGTCATCAGAAAGTTTTATCGGTACAACTTCTGCATAAAAATGAAAAAAATCGAACGATAAATGTTTACAGAGTTCAAAATTGCGCTGGGGGCTGGGGTACTCATAAAGATAATTATATGATTTAATTATATCTAATTAAATTTTCAGATAGGTAATAATGTTATACCACTATACCATACAGTACAAGTTCATGTCGATTTAATATAATAAKATATTACGTTACATGGAACAATCAAATTGGTTTGGAGCCATTTCAAGAAACTGTTTCAATTACAGAAACGGAAGTAATTTCATTGTCGTTTATGTATATGTATAAGAATATAATATATGTGTATATACATATATGAGAACAATAAATTATTTGTATGCACATTG